TTCTTCAGCAAATTCACTTATACTGGATTTTATAACAATGTTCTCACGAGACCAAATACCACCAATTGACAATTTTGTAAGCAATCCTGCTGAGCCTTCAACTGTAAACGTCGATGGTAACATTCCACGAAGGTCATCTATTGACATCGTTGAGTCACTGTATTTAAATATTTTCTTAAAGCAATCGTCATTATCTAACCATGCAATAGCTTTGAAGTTTTCATTCGAATATACATCTGCTTCATTAAATGTAAAACCTGACTTCTTTGCAGAGATGACTTTAAAATCTATTGAGTTTGTTTCAAAATTATATGCTATGGTAACTTCTGAAGGTAATGGATGTCCTTCCGCAGTCAGTTGTTCTCTCACTACCGTTTGAAGCTTTGTGTTAAAAACTTTCATGTCATCTCCTGTGTCTAGGTTCACATACACAGCAACAGGAAAACTATCTTGCTTCTTTGTTTCATCATTATATCCAAAACATTAAAGTTCTTCAATAATATTGTTCTTCCTGCTGGAATACTTCGAACCTGTCTGATTTCAATAGCTTTCTCACCTCCTACATACTCTACCCAGTGCCTTGGATATTCATAAGTATACTGACTTTCTTGAATTTTGGTTGGTTTCATCATAACGTGTTCATAGTATATCTTTATACTCTTGTCAGTTAGACTCGGTGCTATGTTCTGAATATTTCTGACTTGCATTTTTAATGGAGATAAAATGAAGCATTTAATACATGACGTAGATGAAGACATGAATGAAACTACAGACAAACTTAACTCTTCTCTTATTCTTCCTTTCAGTAAGGACTATGAGTTCTGTTCAAATGGTGTTATTTCTATTGTGGAAAGATGGGTTCAGGTAAGACATTTAATTTAATTCGTCATATACTCATAACAGAGCGTTTAGGAAACGACTCTTACTATGACCAAATCATTATATCAGCAACTTCAGACTCTATGGATTCAACAGCGAAAACATTTATGTCAAAAGTTCAAGCCTCTGTCGTTAAAGTTCCAGACAGTGAACTCATTGAATTTCTTCAACGTTACATTCGACGTAAGAGGAAATATTATGCCATCGTTGAATTTATACAGTCAGGAATGCAAAAGACTTCTGAGGAGATGGAAAGAATTATTGACAAACACCACTTACGTCAGTACTCAGGAGTTTACGATATGAAACGACTGACAAACTACATTCTATCAAAACTTTCAAAATACCCCTTCAAAAAATATCCTTCAAATACTTGTTAGTTTGCGACGACTTCGCCGGAAAAGGTTTAGTGTCAAAACCTGACTCACCATTAGCTAACATCATACTAAAGTCAGACATTACCATTTAACTGTAGCAATACTTATGCAAACATGGAGGTTTTTAGCTTTAAACATAAAACGTCTCATAACTGACTTCGTTATCTTTCAAGGTTTCTCACGTTATGATATTGAACTCATTTGGAAACAGTCAGGTATAACATTACCTTTTGAAGAAATTTGGGAAGCATATAAGTCTCTCATCTCTCCTCGTTCATACCTTGAGATTCATATCATGACTAATACCATTAAAGTCAAAAATATTCCATGGGAACGACCAACATTGTTTTAAAGTTTAACCTTCAATTGACTGATGGTAAACAAATTCCATGCATCTCTGTCGCCATTTCTGTTAATATTTTTGCTGTCATTCATATCATCCACTTCTCCATCCGTTAGCTTTTGAGGATATGTGTTAGAATAGCTGTTCTTAAATGAAGGCTTCTCTCCCTTGAGAGCATAAACTCTATAACTTTCTGCATACTTTATGTTTGAACCTCCTGAGCCATCATTGACATAAATTTTTATAGGCTTCCACCCTTTGTTCATGTTCCTGCTTCTTCCCTTAGCTCTTTTGTTCAGTAGTTCTACATCTTTATACACAGCTCCTGTCTCAGTGAATTCAACAATATTTTCATTCGTTAGCTTTACATTCAAACCCTTGTCGAGTATATTGTTCATTTCATACATATAAAAGGTTTTTATTCTATATGAAATGAGAAGCAAATCCATCTTAGCTGGTGCCGTTAATGTTCCAATTGAACCAACATCAAATGTTGACTCACGAACGACAAACAATATTGTCATAAAGAACTATAGTTCAGAGTGTTTGAAAGAAAAAGAACCAGAACTGAAATCCGTGAATTTAAACTCAGCTTCAAACGCTAACGCTACATCAGATGTTAAGTTAGAGTATCCACCACTGGACCAAATTCTTTCAAGAGAAGCCAACGACAATCCTTACATAAATGTTCAAACAAATCCTTCAGATAACGTAGACCATTACCTTCTTCAGTTATACCAAACAATTTTACTCAAAGACGATAAGAAGCTTTTGATAAATCTTATAAGTAAGAACCAAATAATTCTAACAAAGGAGGACCTTGAAAATGTTATATCACGAATAACAGGGAAGCAATGTGTCATTGACTATCTCGACCCTGAAATCGAATGCTGTGGTCAAACGCCACCATTCATGAAAATAGGTAACATCCGCATCATTGAAACACCAGGAACTACAGGAGTTGAGTTTAAGTATAAATATTCGAATGAATATACAAAACTTTCAACAGAATATAAACTTTGCTTGAAATATGTTTTAGTAAATTAAAGCAATTTGTAATATCTATCCAAAACTTCTTCAACAGTATCGAACTCATCTTCATAATGCAAACCTAATCTTATTGACTTGGTGCAGTTTTCACTAACACAATATAGCGCTTTGCGCTCGGCGCCTTTGACGCCTTTTTCTGTTCTCTTGACTGACATAACTAATCATTTGTTTCATCAAACAGCAACAACCAAAGTTCATGACCTAATACATAACATTCATACTTTATATTTTTAGCTCTGAGTTCTCTTGTAAGCTGTTGCATTTAATATTTTCTAAAAAGTCAACTTCAACAGTCATTCGCACTGGTGCCTTCAGTTCTACAGGCTCTCCTTGAAAGTCAACAAGTCTGAATTGCATGTCTTTCAAATTATGAGGACTAATGCGAATCCATTTACCTAAATGAGTTGCTATGACAGGAACGTTTGGAATGAACATTGAATTGACTGCATAACAGAAAGATTTATATTCTACTGAACCTTTACTATTAACTCCTGAAATGCCTGTGACATTAGCTATTTTTGACTCAATGTATAAACAATTACCATAACATACGTATGGAACAGATTTCATCTCAATCGTTTTGTCAACACTTTTCAAAGGAAATGTCATATGGTATGCTCCTAAAAGAAGTTGAACTCTATGACTCATTCGTGTTATCTTGAACTCTTTCTTGCTACTGAACTTCAAAACTCCTGCAATAAGTTTAACATTCATTAAGTTTTCTTCGTTATCCTTGTTTATTGTAGTATTTATGAGAGCATTTAACACTCCAGCTAATGTTTCCATCTTATATTCTACATTATTGTGAAATCTTATTTCGTGCTTCTTTCCATCTATTTCAAACTCCATGAAATCTGTTTCATCTGTTATGACAAAAGTTGCGATAGTATTGAAGTCAACAACTCTGAAAGCAAGCGCTTCATTCTGAAGACCTAAGTTTGTTTGTAGCTTTACTGTCCCGTATTCGTTTGGGTCTGTACTTTGCAAATAGAACAACATTTTATTCTCATTAAAATATGACTATTGCTGCATATGCGTATGAAACAAATGAAGCAAGAAGAGCACATGAACTAGTAAACGAAAACTCAACTTTAACCATTGAAGGCAATGATTTAGTCATTGACGATGGAAAAACTAAAAAAGTCATTGATTTCGATACTTTTAACACTTATGACCCATTCATTACAACAAGCAAGGTTCCCATCATAAATGATGGAACGGTGCAATATATAAATTCTACAGTAGATGCCTCATTAGTGAAAGTATTAAATGTTCTCATTGAATTGTTAAAGAGCTTTCGATTTGACGACAACATTAAATGCCTAAAGAATTTAGTCATGAATGAGAAACAAATTCTTGGCGTTGCTGGTAGCAGTAATGATGTACACCTTATGACATTAGAATATTATAACGAACATAAAGATGAACTGAAAGGAGAGAAGGGTGACACCGGACCTCAAGGACCTCAAGGAATACAAGGAATACAAGGAATACAAGGAATACAAGGACCTCAAGGCGAAAACGGTTTGGATGGAAAGGATGGAAAGGATGGAAAAACTGCTAAATCATGGATATGGGACCTTATAAATACTGGTTTAACAGCTGCTTCATATGGAGTTCTTCAATACCAAATCGGAAAGATATGGGCAGTACTTGGTGAAGAAGCTTTAAATGACGTTAAAAATGCTTTGAACTTCATTTCAAATGGTTCGGATACTATTAAAACTTTATCTGGTTGGATGCAAGAAACAAGGAGTCAAATAGATACTGTAAGACGTATAGCAAACAATGCACGTACGGGATTGGATACTTTACGACAAGCACAAAATACACTAAAGGAAGCAAATGATATTCTTGGCTCAGTATCAGACATGCATGAAGATTGGCTTAAAGGTATTGACAAATCTTTAAAAAATCACAGTCAGTCTATTGCTGACTACAAGAAAAGTATAGATTTTTTACATAGTGCTATGGACGTACATGATGGAAGCATAAGGAACTTATTTAATGCTAACAATAACTTACCAGGAACTATTAAAGCATTTATAAAGTCCTTTGTAAAACCCGGTGCTCTAACATTTAGGTCTTTGAGAGCAAGAGCATTGAAGTCAAGAGATGCAGAAACTCCAACAGAACCTACAGAAGGAACTGAAACAACAGAAACTCCAGAAGAACCACCAAAACCAACAGCTAATGAAATATTGTTCGAATATTTTCCAAGGTACTCTGTTCTCATTGCATACATTCAAGAAATACTTAAGAAAGCAGACTTGACTTTAGGAGATGATGAAAGTTCTGTATATCTTTCGTTCCAGTTTCAAATAGCAGAACTTTTGAGACAGATATGTTTAATGTATGACAACATATCTGATTTCACAAGATATGATGACGACCATGACCCCGAACATGGTGAAGAAGAAGTTTTACAAACATCCATTAAGACAGGAAAGGTTTTAACTCAAAGTCTCATTATTGACACCAAAGATGGCGAAGTGGACGTTCTTCAAGAGCTGAAGAAAAATACTTCTTCGGGAGGTGGTGGTAGGCATGAACTTGAAATAAATGAGATAGAAGAGAAATTAGCCGAAAAAGCAGATAAAGAACATAAACACAATATCTCCGATATAAATGAACTTCAAGCTACATTAAATAGTAAAGCGGACAAGAACCACGTTCATTATATAAGTTCAGACGAACAGATTATAACGGACTACCATGGATATTTAACACGAAGTGATGAAGCGAAGACAAAAAATGTTAATGAAAGAAGATATAAATACATTCGTGCTAAAGGTTATGACATAAGCTGTACTGTACAGTATGATGTAGCTAAAGCACCAGAAGCATTTGGTTATACCGGTGAAATTTATGCCTCTACTTTCAATGTTAACGGTGTACTAGTTGAACCAAGATTTACTTTGAGAGTTAAGGCAAAAATAACGTTTGAAGATGCTATTAAAAGTAAAGCTGACAAAGTTGAACTCGAAGCAACGAACAAAGTTTTGAAATCTCATAAACACAACATCTCCGATATAAATGAACTTCAAGCTACATTAGACAGTAAAGCTGACAAGAACCATACACATAAATCCTTCACTACTGTTAGAGCAGACGACATAATATTGAACTTTGACCTTGGTTCAAGTGCACCATTAGAAAATCCAAGTACAAGCGTAAAAGATACTCTTAACAGTTTAGATAAGAGTTGCAGGAACATTGAAAGTCATGCCAGAAACTTTGAAGCACATGAACTACCATCAATGTTAGACAATAAAGCCGACAAAAATCATACACATAAATCCTTCACTACTGTTAGAGCAGACGACATAATATTGAACTATGATTTGGGTTCAAGTGCACCTTTAGAGAATCCAAGCACTAGTGTAAAAGATACTCTTAACAATTTAGATAAGAGTTGCAGGAATATCGAAGATCATGCCAGAAACTTTGAAGCATATGAACTACCAGCAATGTTAGATAAGAAAGCAGACAAAACAGAGCTTCAAACATTAAAGACTGAAATACTTCAAACATTATATCCTATAGGCTCTATTTATACGTCAATGAACTCAACAAATCCAGCAAGTGTTTTAGGTTTTGGTACATGGCAGCAGATTGTAGACAAATTCTTATACTGTGCTAACTCTTCAAAGCAAACAGGAGGTTCGAAGAAAATTACTGAAGCAAACCTTCCACCGCACACTCATACAGGAACTACAAACACAACAGGTAGTCATTCACATTCAATAACAAAAAGAGGTTATACAAATCTTGCAGCAGGTTCGGATAGACAGGGAATGCATAGATATGATATTTCAAGTGACCCAGTAGATTCAAGCGCAGGTATTTTCTGTGGAACCGCAGGAAATCATGTCCATACTTTCACAACAAATCCAACAGGCTCGGGTGCAGATTATATGCCACCATTTGTGACTGTATTCGCATGGTACCGCGTTCAATGAACGCGCTTGAGCCTAGAATAAAATCTTTAACTTTACATAAATGAGCTTGAAAGAAGTATTCGAACAACATCCATGGAGGTCATTTAAGAAGTTCAATGAAGCTGCAAAGAGTCGGGGATTTACTAACAGAGCTGAAGTGAAAAGGTTCTTTGACAAAAATGTTGTACATCAAACAAAAATAAACCCTTACGACTACTTTTTACCAATTTACTCCAACACTCCCGACGCATACCAATTTGACACTCTCATTCAAAGCAGAAAAGGAGGACATAAACCATTCCTCATCTTCATAAATGTTAACACTCGTAAAGCATATGCATATCCAATGAAAAATAAAGGAACTCGTGAAGTGTTAAGAGTTTTACAAAAGTTTGTAGCAGAACATAACCCAAGTACTTTAACATCAGACCAAGACAGTGCATACTCAGCAATGAAATCACAGAATTTCTCATTAAGCATAACATAACTCACTACACTACTGAAGACCATAACCATAACATACTCGGCATCATAAACCGCTTCATAAGGACTCTCAGAGATTTAAACCAAGAGCGAGACTTTACCGAAAGAAACAATGAAACATTTTCTCGAAGTATATAATTCCTCAACACATTCTACAACAGGACATACACCAAATTCAATGACACAACAACAAGAAGAAAAGTATATACAAAAGAAACGAAGCCAAACACAAAATATCAGAAATTCAACACAATTTACCCTCATTCCTGGAACAAAAGTTCGTGTAGTTCTTGACGACAAACCGTTGACAAAGAAACGTTTAAGGTTAAGTCGAAATTATTATATCGTAGACTCTACGCAAGGTAATGGATATCTTATAAAGCTGCCGACGACTCTATTGCGTTTTATCCTCGACATAAATTAGTCGAAAGTAGTAATGGCAAACTTGCTGAAACCATTGACGAAGCAAAGCGAGGAGTGGTTATTAAAATACTTGGCTATAACACAAACGATGACACTTAAAGTAAGATATGAAGGAGGCGTTGAAGATGTTATACCATCTAAGAACTTGAGAGAGTCGAAGCCAACAACATCTGGGACCATTAGAGCGGGAGTACTGGAAAGACAAAAATATGCCAGAAAGAATAAGAAAATTCTTCTAAACTTTTTCATTAGATGTAAATCAGACAAAAATATAATTTTAGGTGAAGAGGTGAGATCTCACCTGTTTTTTCACCTTTTTTTCACCCCGTGAATTTTCATGAATTTTCACAAAAGACCAAAAATAATGTTTAGGTGAAGAGGTGAGATCTCACCTGTTTTTTCACCTCTTTTTTCACCCGTGAATTTTCATGAATTTCACAAAAGACCAAAAATAAAGTTAGTTTTATTTTTTTTTTTTTTTTTATTTTGTATAAAAGATATGATTTCAACAATCGGCACAACAACAATTCAAGCCGCGAACGGCGGGACTCTGTCCACAACAACAGCACCAAACTCGTTAGTCATGAATCCTACGTCAATGTTAGTAGAGATGAAAACTTCATTCCTTCTTCATATACTTTTGAAACAAAAATCCAGAAGATAAAGCAAGAACTTTTAACAAGTAATTTAGACTGTAGTGCGAAAGATGAAGAAAATGAAGAATATCTTTATGAAATGCAGGACATTATTGACCATTTACCCAAATTGCCTGAAATCCAACAACAAAAACTCACTATTCCTGAATTCGAGAAAATTGAAGTGAAACCAACTGACTCAGTAAAATAAAGAAGTTCATACGAAAGGTAAACTATGAATTCCTTGGTTTTCATTGCAACCATAAGGTTATGGACAAAGATTGCGACATGGTATATAAAAAACATTTCTGACATATATAAATCTGAGGAGTTTAAGACTTACGATAACTTTGTTTCATTAGTTGCAAAATGTGTTTGGGAAATAAGAGATAAAGATAGAAGAGGCAAAGTATGGAACGAACAAATAAGACCCGCTATGTTTGAGATGAAGAGAGCAATTGACGCCTTAGTTGTTTTAGCTGGTTTTATTTCAATGTATAACGCAAAAATGAACCCGCAATGTTCTAAATGTAAGGCAGCAATTAGGAAATATAACTACTCAGTCAAAGAGATAGAAAGAATGAGAACGACTATGCAGACTTAAAGAAAGAAGCAGAAAAGCCAGTAGAAGATAAAATGAACATGTTAGAATTTCTGAACAAAAACTATCCAACAGCAGAAGATTTCTTCTATCTGACGTCAAGAAGAAGTATAAAGAAACCTTCGGTATTGTTAAAACTTTTGACATACTGACAGAAGAAATAGAAGCTACGAAATTGTTTTAGGATTTCAAATATACATCGTACATTCATGTAAAACGCTTGTGAAAAAAAAAACTGGGGTGAAAAAAGAGGTGAAAAACAGGTGAGATCTCACCTCTTCACCTAAACATTATTTTTTGCTTTAATTAAATGCTTTCCGGAAACGTCGATGAAAATCATATGGACAAATTATATGAAAAAATTAATAATGATTACCCCTCATTAACCAGGGAAATGACGAATTCTATAGTTCGTAAATTCGATGAAATACAGGATATGTGGTTCGACAGATTCGACATGAACGATAAGGAAAAGAGAAAGAACGATAACAATTTACTTACTAAAAGAATCCTAAAATCTAAAATAGGTGAAGCTTCAACATTTAACACAGTACATAACTTTTACACCGCTGTTTATATTTTCAATAATTTATTTAACGATGAACGAGAAAGAAAAAGTATGTTTAACGGAAGAAATGAATATGATTTTATCCTTTGTGCTGTTCGGATGTTGACATGAAACTAAAGAAAATATTCTTATTACAAGATGACACGGTTGAAGATGAAGTCAATGAGTTTTTAAATCGTGATTTAAATGAAATTGATGAAGTTATGACCGAATGTTATAAAAAGTTCAAGGGGTGAAAAATTAGGTGAAAAATTAGGTGAGATCTCACCTCTTCACCTAAATTATATTTTTGTTCAAAGCTTCCACGAGAGAAAAGATTCCTCATTCGCTAAGGATTCCAAAAATGAAAAAATCATTGATTTCGGCTGAGAAAAAACTTCTGAAGAATGAGTGAAGCACAGCGAGACCGACTTTTTTCTGAAAACAGTGAAGAACAGCGAGACCGACTTCCTTCGGGGTCGCCTAAAACTCATGAAAACAGTGAAATTTCTCTAGACCGACTTTTATCGGCCTTGCATAAAACACATGAAAATCGTAAAAATTTGCCAATAAATTTAAGAGGTTGGTATGTACATAGACTTCTTGTAAATGCTGTTGCAATGTGGGCTTCTCCTCGTTATGCATGGCATGTTTACAGACTTCTTGACGAAATTCATAGACAAGAACGTGAAGAGCTAGAGAACAAGCTTGAATCCAAAGACAAAAGCATACAGAAAAGAATACCGCGTTCAGTACCAAAAGGAAAGGAAAAGAACTATAAGTATATGATTTATACTGAAGAGATGGAAAATGAGAAGAAGACAGAGATATGGTTATGTTGCATTTAGTTAGAAGAAACAACAAGAGCTTTTACGACCTTGCTAAGATTTACAAATCTGACAGAAATTGGTTCTATCGCGAAAACTTACCGATTTCAATGACCCAAATGAAGATGTGAAACAAATAGTTCAAGATACGTTACCTCAAACACACTATAATATTAAGGTTGTACAATTCTTACCTTCAAAGAAGACTTACCGCTACTGAAAGAAAAAATAACAGAGTATTTCGATAACTTCAAAGAGGAAGAATGAAAATCTAAGCTAATTTTATTTTTTTTATAAAATTTTATCTCATATGAAAGAACATGAATTTAGAAATATTCGGAACTCATGACAGAAGAGGAGAACGAACAGCATGTAAAAGATTATGCAAAATTTATGAAGACATACAAAGCATTTAAACAATATCTAAATGCTTCTAAAGATTATGCAAAATTTCTGAAGGTATATAAAGCTTATGAAAAAGCGTATGAAAAGTTTATACATTGGGGAATTGTTGTAAAATATCCATATGAAGACTAACCAAAAATATATTTTTGCTTAAATAGCTTCAGGGTCAATTTCTTCAACCATTTCACTTCCTTCGTCAATGTCAATTGAAGCTTCTTCAACCTTTGGTAAGAATTTCTGTATAACATCTTTGTTCGTTATTGTCTTCAGAGATGAAGGATAATATTTCACATTTGTTTCACCCTTCTTATATTCTTTCTGTTCGGAAAGATTCATAGCAATACTGAAGAAGTCAATGTTAGAGTTCTTTATGACAGTATATGAGTATCTTTGACATTCACGAAGAAACTCTTTTGTTTCAAAACTACTGCTAACTCTTGTGAAGTATAACGTTTGCGGTCAATGACGATAGCTAATGGTCTGACATACTGACCAAACTTAGATTCTTTCACAAACTTCTTGTTAAAGATAACATTAACATTTGAAGCATTATTGAACTCATTCTTGATGGCAGTAGCGAGAGCATTGTATGAAAAGAACTTGCAATCTTGCATGTGTTTCATTAAAATAAAAATATTAAATTATTTTGAAAAATAACTTAAAAAAAATCTAATCTAATTTTTTCAAAAATATTTTTTTTATTTCCTACTAAAGATGTATCGGAAGTTGTCTAAGTTAGAACACTCGGAAATAAAACAACTTCTTACAGAAGCTAATATAGATGTTGCAAAGCATTACGCAACAAACAAAAAAGCACTCGCTGACTTCATTAAAGACTA